ATCGCTTGAAATGCAAGTGGACACAAATATTCTCGATTATATCGGCATCATCGAGCACGCGATCGAAAGTGGAGCCATTTCGTCCCCGATCGGTCGGGGCTCGTCGGGCTCGACCGAGCCCAATTAACGCAAGTCCGTCACGTGTCAAACGATGTGCATTGCCGTACGGAAAAGGGGCAACAGTTAACCTCTCGGCGAGGGACTCTCGAGGGCTCCGAGAGAGGAGGGTTCCGAACGATAGGTCGTGACGGTAAGGGCACTAGAATTATCACGGTTCGGCCCCACCTTCGCCTCGAGACCCTTTTGTGCGGCTCCTTTCTTCGATACGTATGCGTGTGCATATGTGCACGATCATTTGTGCGTGAACCGTACCGTGGCATACGACGACATATCGACGACGCCCATAAATGGATACCATAAGTTAACTATCTCCCCGGGTCAGACTATACATATTTCTCCATCAACTCTGGCGTCCTTGTTCCTGCCTATTCTTCGCACGTTCTCTCTCAAGGATCGTTCCTTTTCTATCCGTAAAATTCAGCGTTTTAGGCGCATCTTTAGTTTCATCGAATGCAGTAGAATCTTTATTGATGGATAAAGAAATGAAAGATAATCATTTTTAGATGTTGAGGGAATTTTGAATTTTCTTTTTACGTCAATTATCTCGATAAAATAAAAATTCGCCGGAACAAAGTATGGAATAGCTTTACGAAGAATTAAATGAAATTTCTCTCTGGGGAAAACGCTACTAGTTTAGAAAAATAAAATCTGAAAATTAAAAAGCAAATAATTGAAATGAAAAAAATATATAATATGATACTTGGCAACATCAGTAATGCAGCCGGGATGGAAGATGGTCTCTACCCTCTTGTGCTGAATTCAGAGAACGCGGTGGAGAGAAATGAAATGCCGAGTGAATTAAAAACGTTCGTTTTCTTACCGACGCTCGTAAAAGTCACATTTGCCTAACCATACGAAAAGGGAACCGACGAGTTAAGCCCGATTTATATTCCGACTAGCACGGCAAACAATCTCGAAAACTTCTAACCGCATCGCTTCCTCCGCCGCGTTTCTGTCCCCATCGAAAGAGAGAGAGAGAATTCCGAATCAGCGTTTCCCGCTTGCGGAGTCGCGCTTTAAGCTCCTCTCGCCAAATCTCTCGAAATCAGTCTCTCCTTCTTCCTTCCTTGAATTGTGGCAGTGTTGAATTCGGCGTGCCCGCATGGGAAAGACAGACGTCATGAAAAACAGGACGGGAAGGCAGAAGAAAGCTATTGTGTGTGCGGAACCGCAAGCTCGGCGAAAGTCCGAAACTCATCCCAATTTCCGCTTTCGAATTTTCACGCTTTCCGTCGAGATAATGGACTTGCGGGTTATTCTTCCCCACGGGAAATATATCATCTCAAGTACAAGCTCTCAGCGACGTTGTGATACGCGATAATAATTATACAACTTGACTCTAACGGCATAAACGTTGAGAGATATGTTTCTTATCAAATATTTATTTATTGTTCCATATACATAAAATGACTTGCGAAAATTATTGATCATTTTTTCTAAATATATATATTTCATTATTTTGTATAACTCCAGATTAGGTTCTTTTTTTTTATTATTTTCTTTGCTCTTTAATCATAAGGGATCGCGCGTTATATCCCGGGTAATAGAAGATTTTTCTTTGACCAGTCTGGACCTGACAAACGATTGCTAGAAGGAACCGAAATAAGAGCGACTTTCGGAAGATGAACTGAACAGGGGATAAGAGGAGGAAAACGGCGCTCTCCCGCGGAAGAGAAAGCCGCAAACTCGGCAAAATGGCGAAGCCCGAAATCCATCTCGACCTTCCGTCTTTGAATTTTCACTCCTTCCAGCGAGATAATAGGGTTTCCCGGATATATCTTGCCGTACAATAACTCATCCGGGATACAAACGGCGCCATGTTAAGCGCGGCCGCGTATTAATCACAATTTTCATTTTCTCACGCGAACGAGACCGAGAGACGCCCGGCACCTTTATATATGCGGAAAAGCGCACGATGCGAATAATCTTTGCGCACGAATGATTTCGCGCGTGCTAACTTGAGAGAATTTCGCGTTTCGCCGCACGAGTATGTCGCGCGGAATAAATCTCCGCGAGATTATTTTATATCTAGATAAGGAATCTTGTTTACAGCAAATTGCTGCGTCAACTTTTCTGTGCTTTCAAAGTTTTCAACTTTTGTATAGTAGAAGATAAGCTCTTTCTCTCATCTATCGAATTAGTCGATTCGGTATCGTAATGGCAAAGAAAATTTTGTTATAAAAACCGTACCGATCCTCGCAATGATTGCTATGAGTATTTTCATGAGATTCAGTTAGTGAATTGCTTTATAATTGATCATTAATTGAAAACGATAAAATGTATAGATTGATTGGCATTACAAAAGACTGCCTATTCATTCGTTGCGTCATGAAACCCGGCATCAATATCCAATAATGAATAGTCAACATCATAAATCCTGACGTAAACGTAATTTAACTTATACGTGCACTCTGATAATTGTAAACTCGCTTAATTTAATATTTACATTAGCATCAAAGCGACAAAAAGGAGGAGACGAGCGAAGAGAGGATGAAATAACAGATTTTCTCATTAAATATCTTCGCCGAGTGTATACGTATATACTTATACACTTATGCGATTTACATGAAAGACGACGCGCGAGACTGTGCACCTCCAGATTTATAGTCTTGTGATCTCCTCGATAACATTTTTTATCTTGATCTCCTTCGTCGTATCTTCATCTTTACGAGCACACGTACGTATCTGTAACACGTGTCACGATTTGAGTAACGGATGATAAATCAGCGTCGCGCGAACATTTTATTGAAACAGACATTTTTCTCATCGCGAACGGAAGTTTTTGCCACTCTGTGTGCAGAATCGTTTCGAGTTGATGGATAATTAATGCCAGGTGGTGCGCAGCTTTGATTTATTGCGAATGATGTAATTACCGGCGCGCTCAGACTCGGCAGGAATACGCAGGAATTTTACGGAGACTCGGATTGATTTAAAGAAATCACGATAATTTCCATTTCCTGATTATGTAATAAAGATCACGGCTGAGGAATCGGTTATTCCATTATTTCTACTTTCGCTCATGAAATGATATTTTTATCTCTTGTTACATACAAAATGAAAAATCAGGATCATGCACGATTATAATTAATAAGTATATTTTTATTTTAAGGGAATTGAAATTAGGGGTAGAATATATCATTAAAATTTATCTCTTTGTTCTGAAACGTACTTGAAAATTTAAACGAAAGAGAAAGGGAGAGAGCGAGAGAGAAAGAACGTTCAATTAGTACTAATTGAAATCGGAAAAATCGATTGATGTTTGCATAGAATATAGCAGGGTTAAAGAAATATGAATATACGAATATCATACCATGTATTTATTTCGTTTATTGTCCACGGACAAAATATAATAATTTGTGACAATTTTTTTCTTGTATCAATAACGAAACAGTGCAATAATGATAATAATATAATAATAATTATAAAGTAAATAGTTCGTTATTGTATTGTTATATGACAATGAACGAGTACTAACTTCCATTGTATTATGTTTTGTGGAATTAATTTAACGTAGGACTTAATTCAGTTAAATTGATTCGACTGTGATCTTGATTTGATTAATTAACGCGGAATAAAATGCTTCCTTTAAAAGCAGAGATTAAAAGTTATTCTCTCTCTGTATTTGAACAGAATTGTTATTGCATAATATCCATTCAGAGTTCGCCCATTTTCGCGATTTTTATTCGCATTGTGCATCGCGTTAATTCATGGCCATGCTTTGTGCGGTTCGAGGTTTGCCTCGAGGGATAAAATTAATGAACTCGCGGTTTTGCCTTCTTATTCGAGCTTACCTTTCTCAACTTGAGCTACCAGAAAACACAATGGCCAAATACCATCCTAGAAGAGCTCAGGTGGCGTTCAGGCCGCGTAATACGAAACTGTAATCAGACTAATGGTACTATGTTATCTTTTTCTTTGTGAAATCGACCGTATGATACGATTGAAAAGAAACAAAAGGGATGAGACATAGAGTTGTATTTCAGACTTGACTCGTAATGATAAAATCACAAAGTATTTATCAAGCTCTAGGTAATCCCGGAAAATGTCCGAACTCTAATAATTGTGTTTATAACAAAAAGTGATTATTAATCTCTTGTTATTTTCTTCGTTTTCACGGGAACCGATCTAAAACATTATTTAAATCTTGGAAATTAGATGAAAAAACTTGAGAAAAATCTGTGAAAGGATTAAAAAAGATTTTATAGCCATTTACATATTTTGCATCAGATAAAACCCGATACATTAAAATTTACATCACGCGGAAAATTTGAAGATATGTGCGTGTCACGATAATGAACAGTGTAATAAGTACACAAAGCAAGTTGCTTGACACTATAAAAGAGAATGCGAAGTGAGTGTGAGTTATATTAACTGTATGCTTAGCGATAAATGCGAGCATAATTAACGCGGCTTATCCAAGCGTATGCAAGCAAGCTCATTATCCAGCTTATATAAGCACCAAATTTTATTGATCAACAAAGAATTCTCGCGAATCACGTCGGGATTCTATCCGATGTAGCACTCTTGTTACAGGATAAACAGAGCCAGCAAACAACAACCTAATCCCATGCAAATAACATCATGAAGACAATCTGATTAATGAAGCGACTACTTGTCCATAAACTTACAATGTAAAGAGATATGAGAGAATTAAAATGCACACGTATATACATACAGATATAAATGATCAGGATATGCAGAAAAAGACTATGCACATTTGAGTATTAATTTCGAAGAATTATTTTCTTGGCAAATTTTAGCTCTCGGTTCTTAAACATCCTGCAGTATATAATATTTCTTTTACAATGTTCTCGGTTTTTATACGTTTTAATTATAAAATAAAATTTTATTAATAATTATTCGTTGCTTATCTGTTTCAGGTGCTGTCATCGCCAAAGATGCTAAAGCTTCGAATCAATTTTAGCGGAGAAGCCTATTCGAGACTTTAGAAGACTCGACAGAAATCTGGTAAGTTTTGGGAAAACTTAAATATCGGTTTCATGCTTGAGTAAAGTGTATATTACCTACACTATCGATTGTTCGGCTAAGTCTTCTGATAAAAAAGTTTCTAAGTGAAGTTTTACTGCAAAGTTGAGTAGTAAATATCGACACACTGTAATTGGATTCTATGAGAAAAGAGAGTACAAGAAATGAATAAACAAAAGAAAATTATATCGGCAATGTTACAATACAAGTTACATACCAACAATATTGTGTCTAAAGCAATTTATATGATAAATCTGAAGAAGAAATAAAATGAAAACGATATTTTCCTCTTATTTATGTACATACACTATAATTAAAACATACACAGAGAGAGAATACAGAGAATAATAAAGAGTTATTATCAAAATAAAATAAAATAAATAAATACTTTACTGTTTACAAGTAATCATACGATTGCATTTTAAACAGATCGCCTGGTATTTAAATTTATATGTTGTGCATTTAAACTTTCAAATCAGACTATAAGTAATCACAGATTTTTTTATCCTCCACCCAACCAGATTCTAAAACAAAAGTTTTCGTTGAGTGCGCAAGGATTTTACGCTTCCACGACAATTCAGTGGACTTAGTGAAAGATTTCCGAAATCTGGTAGCGACTTTTCATAATCTTTCAAGCGTAAAAGCTAATTTTAAGCGGCTTCTATCACTTCGATAACACTGTACAAGTCTAAGAACTAATATTTAAAGTAGAAAATGTTTTTTAAGAGTTTACTCATTAAATATTTATAAAATGTTTTAAATATAATTACAATAATATTTTTTCTTTCCACCCCCTCTCTCTCTTTCTTTTCGATAATAAACAGTAAGTGTTATTTTTCGTGTTTTTCTATGAGATTATATATGAAATATACATTTAACAGCACAGCATATACGGGTTTTTCGAAAATAAAATATTACATTAAAAAACATATCTATAAAATACTTATATATAAAAGTTATCTATAAAAACAGCTAATTATGCAATAATGTGGAATATATAAATAAACGGAAACTATAATAAAATTATTTCTAGAATAAAGTTCATCTAAACGTTAATTGTACGATACTATTTTAAAAATCTTATCGATCGTCTTATTTAAACGCACTCTTGTGAATTCTCATCTATAAAAGGTCTTTTATAAAGCACAGACACTTCCTTTGAAGCTAGAGCGTAATGTGGATTCGTCTGGATGTTAATTAATATTTCCACTTTCCGCGTAAGAGAGCGACTCGACGAGCAGGTGAAAAGCACGAAAATTCCAGCGTTGTATACTGTATAAATTCCTATAGATAGCATTGTTCATATTTGCAATTTTATATTGCGTCATAATTATTCCTATAATTTTCTTTTTCGACAATATTGATACAATTATCATAAATTATACGCACCGAACAGACACGCTAAATATAACGCGTTTTAAAAAGGATTATGAAGCAATCCATTCGTATCTCTATTTTATTTAACAATCCTATGACTGCGCAGATATCGAATGTGCTCGCAAACGTAGGAAAGAATGGTTTACATTGCACACGGAACGAAGATTTCGCGGGTGGGTTGTATGCGGCGTGACTATAAATTCTCAGATCGTGAAACAGGAAAGGCGAGTACACGCCTGAGGTCCCTGATACGGTCACGCACGTGCCTTTTTCGCACGCACGCACCGTCGTCATCGTCGTCGTCGTCGTTCTCTCCTTGAAATTTTATCGTGGAACGAATCCAACGAAAACGATCATAAAACTTTGCACTTTACAACCCCTAAGCTCAGGGAAGTCAAGCGCGAGGGACCGGAACCGGCTCGTAACTGAAGAGAAAAAATAAGTATAGACGTGCCCGGTGCTCTCTTCGACGGTAACTCCTAAATTGCGTTTATATTTTAATTACTCCGACCTCTTGCGAACCAGGTGAAACAAATGGCACCTCATTTCATAAATATGCCGCGGTCCATTTTTAATTAAAATCGATATTTTATTAAAGTCATAAAAGCAAAACATAATAGCAAAACGTGACCTTTTTATTATTCAATTAAATAGATTTTTTAATAATAACTCGTTAAATTTTCGCTAAAGAGAAAAACTGACAGTGTATTTGTATTTGTAAAACATCTTAATCGAATTGAAGAAATTTTAGCGTATTCTGTAGGATCATTCTGCTGCAATAATATTAAGACACATGTCTCTATAGAAGAAGAGGAAATTTAGCAAAAGAAAGTTCCTTCAAAATTATAGTATATGTATATCAAATCCTTGAAGTCCTCTAGATAATACTATGGAAAATATGCGAAATACGAGAGGAATTATTTCGAATTCTCTTTCACACGCGTCACATCCTTTTTAATATTTAAAAAAAAAGAGAGACACAAACCTTCGTACTAACCTAATATTTTAGCATAACCATATCCGCGAGTTTCCACACTTCCGCGCAACGTGACTGTGAAATGCCGAGGGAAAGAAGCGCGAATGAGCGAGGAGAGCCGTTTCGCTCTCTTCAGGAAAGGTAACAGGGAAAGATACAACGAGAGAAAAGGGTCTCTCAAGAGACTCAATGGCGCACGAGAGATAAACCGTTGGAACGCATTGAAACTCCCGTGTAGCTGAGTAAAATGGAAATGACTCGAGTCGTTCGTGAGATAAAATGTCACGATAATATGTTACGATACGTTCGAATAATTATTGGATGAAAAGTGCGATTATTGAAATGAGGGCGAAAAATTAGATTGAACTGATAAATCATGATAATATAATATCTCAAACATTCAACCATAATCAGATAGAGTCTTTATCTTTATTGCACAAAGGAGAAGAATATTTCATCCGTTTACTTTAAAGTATTGTAATCCGGCGTTAAATCTGGATGTAGTTTTTTATGCAGATAATTTAGTTTGCAGAATTTCAAAGTTTGGTCGAGTTACCTCAGTTTCAGGAATGCAAACAGCTGAAGAAAAATGTATTCTTTATTTAAAAATATAAACATTTTTTAAATACACACATAATTTTAATTTATGTGCCTAGTCATCGAGATATTTAATATTAACGAATTAAGAGATATAAGATTTTATAAGTATTTTATTATTTAAAAAAATCAATTCGGCTCAACATTTGATAACACATACATATATTTACGATACGTCAAACTATTATATGAAGGGTATGGCTAATTATGTGTTTCAGGACAAAATGTCGATGACTGGGAGCTTGATGGGATACGAGAACAATAACGATGTGAACCAGGCCAAGTGTAAGAAGCCGTTGAAGCCGCTGCCAGTTGTGTCGAGCATAAGCTCGAGTGGCGTTACTACGAGCGCGACCAAGTCAAAGAAAGCACGAAGGCCGATGAGAAAAGAAACGTGCCCACGCGGTCATGTGAACAGCCTTTGGTCTGTTTGGTACGGCATACTGGCTGTCGCTTTTCAGGCGTACATCGCATTGAGATACGCCAAACGATTCGCCGGTAAGATTGCAGCTTCTCTTCTATCTCGTTCAAATTTTCTATCTCTTCGGGATCGGTTACAATGTTAACAATGTCAATCGTTCAGAAATCTTTCTGTATTGGTTTCACTCTTTTGAATACATTTTTTTCGTTATTTTCACGTTCAAACTAAATCAAATAGATAATCATTTTTGCGCGAATATATCTTACAAACTTTTCTTTAATGATACTTTCGTAATAATCTTTTTTAATGTCAATTGAAATATAATATATTATTTCATAATTGTAGATTTTTTTTATATCTATAACGTTGATTAATTTTATGATATAAAAGAAATATATAGCGCGCAATTATGAAATGTATCACATAAATTACATTAGTTTTGAAAGAATTTTTTCTTCCCGCTCGTTTCAGATTACTTTAATCAGTAAAATTTCTAGGCAAGGTTCCGAATGGTTCGTTGCCTTATTTTCCGGCCGTTTCCAGTGGCGGCTTTACGTAAATTTCTTGCCTTGCCAACCAGTACAAGGCTTTACTTTGGGGGGGCCATTACATAAAAGACACACGATAACGACGGGATTGCCAACGAAAATTTTCGTGCTTTCTATTTTCCTTCACATTGAGACACTGATCTTTTATTTCATTTTTCATGCTAGGTTGAACAGAAAATTGGAGAAAGAAATAATGATAAAATTATTTGCAAATATAAAAAAGGTTGTAAATGAATTAACATAGCATTAACGAAATGTTTTAACATTAATTTGCTGACAATTAATTTTATACCGATTATAAATTCGATAACAAATAATTATTTTCTTATTTTCTCCATTATCTTTTTCTCTAGTTAGTTCTATTTAATCACTTAACTTAACTCTTCTTCCAAAAAAAAAAAAAAAAAAGAATTGACTAATCGTAACTAGATTCGAAAGAGAGAAACATATAGATACTAATCAAATTATTATATTTTCTCATAAAGCTAATTAGTATTTTATACCATTTTTATTAATAAGTTAAAGTTAAGATTAAATAAGAGATTTTATCTTCTAAAATATATGAATTAATTAAGAGTTTAACTAGGCTCTGTAATATATAAATATAAATTTAACATATATAAGATAGGCAATAAGAGCCAAATCGCGGATGACAGTGCGTTATTCTAAACGAAACTAAATTTTTTCGTTAGAATTAAATACCTGTGCACAAGGCACCAAATTTTTACTTGGACACGGCCAAGATATAAAATTGGAATAATCTCTACAAGAGATTTTTAATTCCATGTATCCCCTATTCCCCCTAAAGAAATAAAGTGCGAGAGAAAAATATAGATCCGAAAGTCGCAGAATCGGGAATCGAACCCGAGACCTTTCGCTTGCCGGGCGACTGCTCTTCCAACTGAGCTATTCAGATCCTTTCGATTCTATACTTTTCTCTGTTATATATATTAATGTTGGTAAATAAACGCCTTTAAGCCAGCGTGTATAAATTAAGAGTTTAACTAGGCTCTGTAATATATAAATATAAATTTAACATATATAAGATAGGCAATAAGAGCCAAATCGCGGATGACAGTGCGTTATTCTAAACGAAACTAAATTTTTTCGTTAGAATTAAATACCTGTGCACAAGGCACCAAATTTTTACTTGGACACGGCCAAGATATAAAATTGGAATAATCTCTACAAGAGATTTTTAATTCCATGTATCCCCTATTCCCCCTAAAGAAATAAAGTGCGAGAGAAAAATATAGATCCGAAAGTCGCAGAATCGGGAATCGAACCCGAGACCTTTCGCTTGCCGGGCGACTGCTCTTCCAACTGAGCTATTCAGATCCTTTCGATTCTATACTTTTCTCTGTTATATATATTAATGTTGGTAAATAAACGCCTTTAAGCCAGCGTGTATAAATTAAGAGTTTAACTAGGCTCTGTAATATATAAATATAAATTTAACATATATAAGATAGGCAATAAGAGCCAAATCGCGGATGACAGTGCGTTATTCTAAACGAAACTAAATTTTTTCGTTAGAATTAAATACCTGTGCACAAGGCACCAAATTTTTACTTGGACACGGCCAAGATATAAAATTGGAATAATCTCTACAAGAGATTTTTAATTCCATGTATCCCCTATTCCCCCTAAAGAAATAAAGTGCGAGAGAAAAATATAGATCCGAAAGTCGCAGAATCGGGAATCGAACCCGAGACCTTTCGCTTGCCGGGCGACTGCTCTTCCAACTGAGCTATTCAGATCCTTTCGATTCTATACTTTTCTCTGTTATATATATTAATGTTGGTAAATAAACGCCTTTAAGCCAGCGTGTATAAATTAAGAGTTTAACTAGGCTCTGTAATATATAAATATAAATTTAACATATATAAGATAGGCAATAAGAGCCAAATCGCGGATGACAGTGCGTTATTCTAAACGAAACTAAATTTTTTCGTTAGAATTAAATACCTGTGCACAAGGCACCAAATTTTTACTTGGACACGGCCAAGATATAAAATTGGAATAATCTCTACAAGAGATTTTTAATTCCATGTATCCCCTATTCCCCCTAAAGAAATAAAGTGCGAGAGAAAAATATAGATCCGAAAGTCGCAGAATCGGGAATCGAACCCGAGACCTTTCGCTTGCCGGGCGACTGCTCTTCCAACTGAGCTATTCAGATCCTTTCGATTCTATACTTTTCTCTGTTATATATATTAATGTTGGTAAATAAACGCCTTTAAGCCAGCGTGTATAAATTAAGAGTTTAACTAGGCTCTGTAATATATAAATATAAATTTAACATATATAAGATAGGCAATAAGAGCCAAATCGCGGATGACAGTGCGTTATTCTAAACGAAACTAAATTTTTTCGTTAGAATTAAATACCTGTGCACAAGGCACCAAATTTTTACTTGGACACGGCCAAGATATAAAATTGGAATAATCTCTACAAGAGATTTTTAATTCCATGTATCCCCTATTCCCCCTAAAGAAATAAAGTGCGAGAGAAAAATATAGATCCGAAAGTCGCAGAATCGGGAATCGAACCCGAGACCTTTCGCTTGCCTGGCGACTGCTCTTCCAACTGAGCTATTCAGATCCTTTCGATTCTATACTTTTCTCTGTTATATATATTAATGTTGGTAAATAAACGCCTTTAAGCCAGCGTGTATAAATTAAGAGTTTAACTAGGCTCTGTAATATATAAATATAAATTTAACATATATAAGATAGGCAATAAGAGCCAAATCGCGGATGACAGTGCGTTATTCTAAACGAAACTAAATTTTTTCGTTAGAATTAAATACCTGTGCACAAGGCACCAAATTTTTACTTGGACACGGCCAAGATATAAAATTGGAATAATCTCTACAAGAGATTTTTAATTCCATGTATCCCCTATTCCCCCTAAAGAAATAAAGTGCGAGAGAAAAATATAGATCCGAAAGTCGCAGAATCGGGAATCGAACCCGAGACCTTTCGCTTGCCGGGCGACTGCTCTTCCAACTGAGCTATTCAGATCCTTTCGATTCTATACTTTTCTCTGTTATATATATTAATGTTGGTAAATAAACGCCTTTAAGCCAGCGTGTATAAATTAAGAGTTTAACTAGGCTCTGTAATATATAAATATAAATTTAACATATATAAGATAGGCAATAAGAGCCAAATCGCGGATGACAGTGCGTTATTCTAAACGAAACTAAATTTTTTCGTTAGAATTAAATACCTGTGCACAAGGCACCAAATTTTTACTTGGACACGGCCAAGATATAAAATTGGAATAATCTCTACAAGAGATTTTTAATTCCATGTATCCCCTATTCCCCCTAAAGAAATAAAGTGCGAGAGAAAAATATAGATCCGAAAGTCGCAGAATCGGGAATCGAACCCGAGACCTTTCGCTTGCCGGGCGACTGCTCTTCCAACTGAGCTATTCAGATCCTTTCGATTCTATACTTTTCTCTGTTATATATATTAATGTTGGTAAATAAACGCCTTTAAGCCAGCGTGTATAAATTAAGAGTTTAACTAGGCTCTGTAATATATAAATATAAATTTAACATATATAAGATAGGCAATAAGAGCCAAATCGCGGATGACAGTGCGTTATTCTAAACGAAACTAAATTTTTTCGTTAGAATTAAATACCTGTGCACAAGGCACCAAATTTTTACTTGGACACGGCCAAGATATAAAATTGGAATAATCTCTACAAGAGATTTTTAATTCCATGTATCCCCTATTCCCCCTAAAGAAATAAAGTGCGAGAGAAAAATATAGATCCGAAAGTCGCAGAATCGGGAATCGAACCCGAGACCTTTCGCTTGCCGGGCGACTGCTCTTCCAACTGAGCTATTCAGATCCTTTCGATTCTATACTTTTCTCTGTTATATATATTAATGTTGGTAAATAAACGCCTTTAAGCCAGCGTGTATAAATTAAGAGTTTAACTAGGCTCTGTAATATATAAATATAAATTTAACATATATAAGATAGGCAATAAGAGCCAAATCGCGGATGACAGTGCGTTATTCTAAACGAAACTAAATTTTTTCGTTAGAATTAAATACCTGTGCACAAGGCACCAAATTTTTACTTGGACACGGCCAAGATATAAAATTGGAATAATCTCTACAAGAGATTTTTAATTCCATGTATCCCCTATTCCCCCTAAAGAAATAAAGTGCGAGAGAAAAATATAGATCCGAAAGTCGCAGAATCGGGAATCGCACTTTATTTCTTTAGGGGGAATAGGGGATACATGGAATTAAAAATCTCTTGTAGAGATTATTCCAATTTTATATCTTGGCCGTGTCCAAGTAAAAATTTGGTGCCTTGTGCACAGGTATTTAATTCTAACGAAAAAATTTAGTTTCGTTTAGAATAACGCACTGTCATCCGCGATTTGGCTCTTATTGCCTATCTTATATATGTTAAATTTATATTTATATATTACAGAGCCTAGTTAAACTCTTAATTTATACACGCTGGCTTAAAGGCGTTTATTTACCAACATTAATATATATAACAGAGAAAAGTATAGAATCGAAAGGATCTGAATAGCTCAGTTGGAAGAGCAGTCGCCCGGCAAGCGAAAGGTCTCGGGTTCGATTCCCGATTCTGCGACTTTCGGATCTATATTTTTCTCTCGCACTTTATTTCTTTAGGGGGAATAGGGGATACATGGAATTAAAAATCTCTTGTAGAGATTATTCCAATTTTATATCTTGGCCGTGTCCAAGTAAAAATTTGGTGCCTTGTGCACAGGTATTTAATTCTAACGAAAAAATTTAGTTTCGTTTAGAATAACGCACTGTCATCCGCGATTTGGCTCTTATTGCCTATCTTATATATGTTAAATTTATATTTATATGAATTAATTTTATTTTTAAATATATTTTGTGTATAACCTGTAATCGGTCACATGCATTTATTTTTGCGATTTTACGTCATTCTTCCAGCTTACCTGTCACTACCGTGGCCGGCGGATGCACCGCCTCCTAAAATCGAATTGTACGCCTGTCTGGTGCTAGCCGGTGCCGGGGCCGTTTTACTTCCGGTGTTGCTTGGCGCAGCATTCTTGAAGCTCGGCAATCTCGCAAACGATGGAATAAAACTCGGCCGGCATTTGAGCGCTTGTTCGCGCGACCCGCCATCATCGCTTCTCACTAACAATCCCGATAACAGTAAGTGGATCATAATTCTAGCTTTCCCAACCCTCCCTCACACTATATGACATGAGTTATAGAACTCGCAGTCGACTAGAACTAGAAATCGACTGGTCTAGTTAAAATAATCATTAACAATCTCTCTTTGCTCGCATACTTGAAACTTACTTGTTATATTTGAAAAATATTTTTAATTATTAGTATATTGTATGTTAAGAGAAACATATTTTTATCTTTCATTTATTTTATATGTTATTTAAAAAACCATAGATGTGCTCTCTATATATTTATATTGGAAATAGCCGAATGAAGTAGAGAAAATCGGAATAAGATGCGAGAATCTGATATATCATTTAAATTCATACTGCCAAGTTTGGAAGTGATGAATAAATTAAACATAACTTATTCAAAACCCATTATATTCTGTGTGCAGATCTTTATTTATTCGAGAGCTTCAAGAAAATTTTTCTTTAAATTACAGCGCATACAATATAAAGTATACGTTATTAATTAATGCATTTTATACTTTAATTGAGTTTAACAAAATATATTTTTAACAGTACGCATAAATAGAGGAACTAAATAGAAAAAATGGACTGTATTAACATCTTTTTTACATTGTAAATACGTCGATCGATTGGTCGTAATTACAATGTACGACCTCGGAAAAACATCGAGCAAAACGAGAACCACGATTTTTCAGGTCTGGCAAATAATTTATGGAGACACGGCGGCCCTACGGCAGCCTTCGTGCATCTCTGCATGGCCATGTGCTTCCTCCTTCCTTCTCTGCTCATGGAAGCGAGGCTAATATACGCTGGATTTCTGCCAAAAGGTAATATAAATGTCTCCGCATTGCTTCTTGTTATGCTTCTTCGGAATTAGGTTAAAGGGGAGAGAGATATGCTTTTCTTTCAGATATTATGTAAAGAAATAATTGATTTTGCGCATTCAATTTTTTCATACTTTTCTGTCAAACTAAATTTGAATTTTAATATAACGCAAATATCGTTCAAAATAATATCCTCCCACTTATATCCTTTTTTTTTTTTTTTTTTTTTTTGTTAAAGATAATTCTTGAATTTTTTATGCTAAAAATTTGTTCTGATTTTGTTTTGACGAAAATTTGGTCTTTTATTAGTTTGAAAATGAAAAGTAAAATAGATTTTCTTCTATTTGATTGATCTAGCTTAATTCTCCCCTTAATGCATGCAGTATTTCGCGAGCTCAAATAAAATATTCATTTTATTTTTCATATTCTGAATCCAATATCTCAACAAATTTGAGAGAAATATCTATATATGCGTATATTAAATAAATAACTCCGAGAACTATTTTTACATTTCGCGATGATAACCTGATGATTTTTCTCGGAAATCAAACTTTCTGTCAAAAACAAATGGTGTTCTTTCATGTGACTTTCAAAGGAAAGCTATATCATTTTCGAGCAATATTGAATAAGTAATAATCTAGCTCAGCCAAGTTGAAAGAAGCAAGCATACACTTTGATGTACGACGATTTCGCGCTCGTTGAGTTTTCAAGGGGGACACACTACCGTAGATATATGATGCGAAGGAAAACAATGAAATCCACGTGAGAAACCGAGCATCTTCCCGCGATCACTTTTCCGGACCTTTCTATTTCGCGTACGCACCCTCGCTTGTACAAACAATGAGGGTTCGGCGAAGGGAACGTTTCTACTATTTGTTAACGCAGTACACTCTCAAAAGTATAGCACTTCTCTATTCCGCCGGTTCGCACGCGCAAATGTCATTTTGTGACATTTAAACCCGAAATGGATAATGCGATAAATTATCTATTCTATTAAATTAACGCACTTGTCGGATGAACAAAGTTTCTCGACTTTACCTCTTACGTCATCGAAACAATATCTTTCAAAATTATTATAACTATCTATTGATTTTTTTCTACTGCGATTTGTTAGTTTTCATATCTAAAAGAAGTCACTGCATTTATCTATATATAAGATTTCTGTTGCGAACGCGCGGCTTGAACCGTGGTCCGACGCGAAGCTGCGGCGAACGAGCATGCTCGGCCTTTTTAGGGCCGCGTCTCGCGCGCCGCCTCTCAAATCCTTCACCCGTTTTTTTTTTTTTTTTTTATTGGAAAGAAATCATAGGAATCTCATGAGAGATGTGATGGATGGACAATAGGATAATTGTTGAGTGGACTGTATCTTAATAGGGTGATCGCGCACCCATGTGTGCGCTGAGATTGATGATTTACGTAGGAAGCCGAATTGAAAAGAAGTCTTGAAGTTGATGAACAAAAACAGATCAATTTATTATTTCACATGTCAGAAAGTCACCTGGACTTGACACAAACAAATCAAAGAAAAAAAGAACAAAAACTCGATATGAGAATCGAAAGCGTTTGCTGTACACGTTTCGAAGCTCGCGATCACAAAAGAAAAAACTGTTTGTTCGATATCGACACCAATGTTTTTTGTCGCAAGAGAAAACAATGTCTTATTTGAAAGTCACGATCGCGAATCGTACAACAACAAATTTGTCCTCTTGTGGACGACCGTTATAATTTATCGAACACGCGCACATATGATTTGACGCGACTTAATAATTGTCTTCAATTATGTGACATTCAATCCTCCAGCAGGATCCGAATATTCGTAATGTTCGATCACGTGCATTTATATGCAATTAACTATCACACAGAATCCTCCAGAAGGATTCGAATATTCGCAGGAGTCGATCACGTGTACGCAGCGTGCACAATACGACGGCGAGTTCGTCGCGACGGCGTACTACGACAATTGTGAGAGAGAGCGCGGGAGAGAGAGAGAGAGAGAGAGAGAGAGAGAGAGAGAGAGAGAACGAGCGAGAGAGAGAATGCACGACATGCATTCACCGATACGCGAATATCGCAGTGAATCCTCCAGCAGGATCCGAATACTCGTAATGTTCGATCACGTGCACGTAGCATGCACGAGACAATGGCGAATTCGTCGCGAGAACGTGTATGTTGCGTCGCGAACGAGATCCGATTGCCCGTTAACTCTTCACTCTCGATATGTCACACAATACCGCGCAAATCTGTTCGTATTTGTCGCGATAATACATTCACGCACTTATTACACGGTAACGCGAATTCTTTGGTCTGACTTGCGACCAACGCCGGCTCTCTCTCCGCGACGACTGTCCCCGACGGAATGCTACCCTCATCGATCACGCTATCGACCGCCTGATCGCGAGGGGTACACGCGGAACGCGCTAATTGGCCGAAAATTTGCTTCCGCGGCGCTTCCCGCGGTGCGTGCCGCGAGGTGCTGCCGTGTTAGGCCCGCGGCAATTGCTTTCACTTAAATTCTCGCCTGATCCGTGAATTTTCGTTCGATCGAGCGCGGCAAATTTTTCTCAATCCTAAACATACCGCCCGCCTCGAAATATGAATTTCGAAACTACTCGATCTCGCGGTATACCTTACACAAGGATGCATCGTTCACTCCCGTGTGAGTGAGGTTTGCTAAATGAAAACTAATTGCGTGTGATTGTTCGTCACGATTGATCCCATGCAATATATAAGATACTGAGATGTAACTTCTGATTACGCTCAGATCGCACTAAAGTGAAATTGTAGACCTGAAACGGCTGACAATATTGACTTAAAGTTGACTTCTAAAGATCACTGTTGTTATCGCGGACGGATTTTAACATTTAACGCAGATCGCGTAAACAACAGTATCCGCTGTTCGTACTAATTCGCACGACCTTAAACTTAGGATTGCAAGCGCCGCCCGCCTTGGCGACTTTACTTGCACGCTTTGACTTAACTAATGAACATAAACTTGACTTACTTGCTACATAAATTATAACGTAATTAGAATTAGAATCGTATAATTAACTTACACTAGAATTATCGCTAATTGCTTGACACTCGAGGTTGATCCTCGATGGAATCGTCAGAATCAACGTCGATTGGAAGCACACATAACTTAGTTATGGGACGCTTATATTCCGAGTTCGCTGTTTTGACGGAAACTACTCGAATTAATCCGTCAGAGCCTGGTTGACAGTGGATTACGCGTCCGAGTTCCCATTTGCAAGGAGGAAGAAGAGGATTTTGAATCAGAACCATGGAACCGATATGGATAAGTGACTTTGCCTTTCGCCACTTAGTTCGCTGTTGAAGCGTGTTAATATAGTCGGCGTGCCAATGCTTCCAAAAACGCTCCGTGATCTGTCGCAACAACTGCCACCGTGACAGTCTGTTTTCATTGATTTGCAGAACAGAAGGTTCTGGATTGATTGTGATTGCCGATCCAATCAAAAAGTGACCCGGAGTGAGCACTTCAAAATCGTCAATCGAATCAGTCAATGGGCACAGGGGCCTTGAATTTAAGCATGCTTCAACTTTACAAAGCACGGTAGTAAGTTCCTCGAAAGTGAGGGTGTGATTTCCTAATATCCTACGAAGGTGGTATTTAACGCTTTTGACCCCTGCCTCCCACAATCCACCGAAGTGTGGAGCATGGGGAGGGATAAAACTCCATGTGATGTTATCTGACACGATAAAGTTGAGAAAGTTAACATCGCTTTGAGCGTCTCGATACGCTTGCGACAACTCCTTGTCTGCTCCTGCGAACGTAGTACCATTGTCCGAGTACATGACCTCTGGTAATCCACGTCGCGCACAAAATCTTTGAAAAGCGTTAAGAAAGGCAGCAGTCGAGTAATCACTAACCAGTTCGAGATGAATAGCGCGTGTGGCTAAACAAATAAAGAGTGCTATGTAGGCCTTTCGCGAGGTAATTCCTCGGCCGGCTGAAGCACGTGTAAAGACTGGTCCGGCGTAGTCGACACCGCTATGTAGAAACGCTCGAGAGGGCGCCGAAACACGACTTGTAGGTAGCTGGCCCATCAGCTGACTAGCTACTTGAGCCTTTTCTCTTGTACACGGAACACATTTATAAATAACCGACTTTACTAGACTTCTTGCTCTCAAAATCCAAAACTCTTGTCTAAGTTTTGAAAGAGTGGATTGAAGACCGGCATGGAGAGATACAACATGCGTATAACGGATGATCATGGTAGTGATCGTATGGTTGGCTAATAAGATTGGATGCTTGGACTGGAAAGATAATGACGAGTGTTCTAATCGCCCCCCAACGCGAATTAGACCGTCAGAATCCAGGAACGGATTTAATGAGAGAATTGGACTGTGAGTAGGCAACGGTTTGTTTGACTTTAAATTATGGAGCTCGTTTTCGAATAGTTCTAACTGAATGAAGTTCAGCCAGAAGTTTCGTGCTTCGTTGAATTCAACTGTAGTAAGAGCGTGATATTGAGACTTGTTGTTCGATCCTATTGTGTGTTTCTTTCTACACTTCCTTATGAAACGGTAAATGTAGGCGGTAATACGTATCAATTTTGGCCACCATGAATATCGAGTAGTGAGATTCCACGGTTCATTAGCGTTCACTTGATGCACTTGACACGGTTTTTCTTCTAACTGTGTTTCGTCTATCGGCGTTATTGTGAATGTGGGCCAATCATCCTGTTTAAGACTCAACCATGAAGGTCCGCGCCACCAAATGTCGAAGGCGCTTAATTCTGTGCCGAGTAAACCGCGAGATGCACAGTCAGCGGGATTTTCATGTGTACTGACATGATGCCAAATGCCATCAGATACTCGTGTTTGAATCTCTGTTACGCGATGCGAGACGAAAGTTTTCCAATGAGATGGGTGCTTGTTTAACCAAGCAAGCACAATACTCGAATCTGTCCAACAATGGACTGGCATTTTCGTGAAATGAAGAGATTTTCTGATGAATTCAATTAGGCGCGCTAATAAGACCGCAGCTGACAATTCTAATCGAGGGATTGTCAGCGGTTTGATAGGCGCGACTT